GATTTCAGCGTAGAGGAGGAGGCACAGCTATTTATGTGTCAAATGAAATTGTGTGCTGTCAACGAGAAATATCCGATGGTGCGCCCCGAAATTTTGAAATAATTTCATGCAAAATATGTATCAAACAATTACCGACACTGAACCTGTGTGTTGCCTATCGGCCTCCCAGCTCGAATGAATCCGCCGATATGGAATTACTTAGTGCACTGGAGTTGTTATGTAAGCAGGAGTACTTACTACTTCTGGGTGACTTCAACGCTCCAGGAATAGACTGGAACTTTCCCCTGACACGTCATTTGACCACAAGCTACTTCAAATCTCCCTGAATGAATACCTCATTCAGCACATAAAATTCGCAACAAGAATGAGAGAAGGACAACGGTCTAACTGTTTAGATCTCATTTTCAGTAAAGAAGAAGGACTCATAAGGGAAGTGAATCCACAACCTCCACTCGGTTTAAGCGTTCATATTGCATTTACACGCGTGTGCTCTCTCCTATCCAACCAAAAACCAAATATCAAGAGACGCAGATATATTTGGAAGTGTGACTTTAACGCAATGAGACGCACTCTCTTGGAGGAAACCTGATTGGTCAACACAGAAGATTCAGACGAATTCTGGCAGTACTTTCGCCGGATTATGGACCGTCTAATTGATTACCACTGTCCAATAAAAATGACAAGACTATGTTCGCGACCGCCGTGGGTCAATCCGACGACAAAAAAGGACCCTGAAGAAAAAACGGAGACTCTGGAAAAAGTATTTGCAACTTCGAGATCCAAGGTCACTCGCCGAATATAAGGATCAGCGCAATAAATGCCGCAAGTAAATACGGACTTCTAGAACTTCTTTTGAGCGCCAACTGATAGCAGAATCCATTACATGTCCCAAGAAGTTTTTTGGGTATATCCGCAGTAGGCGGAAACATAGGGACGAGATTGCGTGTCTAAAGGATAGCCTCGGAAACTTAGTAGTTGATGAGCCACAGAAAGTGCGATTACTGTCTCAGTTTTTTCAATCGGTTTTTACGGAGGAGTCCCCAGAAGACAATCAGCAGTTTACACTGGACCGAGATAGCCGGGAGCTTCAAATGCGCCAAGATACTGCCGTCATTGAAACTGTCGCCTTTTCCGTCGAAGAAGTCAGACGCGTCCTCAATCAAATAAAACCTGATAAGTCTCCTGGACCCGACGGAATTCCCGGGGCTGATATTTAAGGAGCTATCAACGGAGCTGTCAAAGCCTCTTTCGACTCTCTTTGAGCTGTCAATGAGAACAGGAAGGCTGCCCTCACAGTGGAACACATCAAACCTCGTTCCATTGCATAAGGGAGGTAGCAGGATGACAACAAGCAGCTTTAGGCCTATTAGCTCAACTTGCCTCCTTTGCAAAACGATGAAAGCTATAGCAAAGAGCGCTATACAGCAATTTTGTGAAGAAAATAACATCTTGCAAGATTTTCAATACGGCTTCCGGAGAGGACGTTCCTGCCTCTCAAATCTGCTAGCTTGTCTGGAGAGCTGGACCAGGGCTCTAGAAAAGGGTTTTGAGGTCGATGTCGTATACATCGATTTCCGCAAAGCTTTTGACACTGTCCCGCAC